CATCAGTGATCTATTGTGTCTTGTCTGCTTCTTTTTAAAGAAATTCAAGGAAGATCTCAGAACTGTGGAATGGATTTGTCACACAAATCTTTCTCTTCCCTCTTCGTGTACTGTTGCATCCCACTGCAACTCCAGTATCCACAGGTCTAGTTATATACATCCAGACCTCAACCACATTGCTCTGAATATATAAACCCCTTAAAAATTATTTGTTTTCAACAACCAGAGACTAGACTGACAATAAATACGCTGTAAGAGGAACTTTTTTTTCCTCTCTACCTTTTGAAAATCTTTACTCATACTCATTCTAATTGACATGCAAATAAAAACTTAGAAAAAACCTTAAAAACTTAAAACAACATTAAGTACAAAGGTGTTCAGATGCCCCAGCAAGGACTGTGACAAATTATATCAGATGAAACACTTGTCACCTTAATGACTCTGAAGCCTAATTTAGAACTTGGTGTAATACAAGAACTCAGCTGGGTTATAATTTATTCTAATTGTTCAAGCTGCCAGCAAGGACTACTGCAAGTATTTTAGTTGAAACACTAGAAACTTGGAAAAACCCTGATTTCTAGGGATCTTAAAAAAAAAAAAAGTGTCATCCTACTTTCTTTCATTTCAACAGTGGCTCAAATCAACATTAACAAAAGGAAATAGTTTCCTTTAGGATGATCTAAAAATGCTTACTTAGTAGAGTATATATATCCAGGTTCACCTCCTCCTCCTAAGCAGCTACTTCTTTCAATTGCCTTGTGAGCTGTTTTGCACACCACAGGCAGGGGTAGTGCAAAGGGTAATGCAGAAGACTAGTCATGTCCTCATCTATAAACAAAGAGCAAAAGTCTCCCTGGAGACTTTGCTATTCCATCCTGCTTTCCTGCGTTCATTCCATTTGGCAGTGTAAAAGTGATTATCTAGTGTGTTCTCTGGGCTGTGAAAAGACACCATTCAGTAATTATCCTCTGAATTCCTTGGTAAGGGATTGTTTCCTCATTGCCAGGAGGGCGACTTTCTCAAAGAGCTGCTCTGATTACTGAGCACAGGTATCAGTCTTGTCCTGCCATCCCACTAAAATCACGTTAGTGGTTAGTCTGTTCAAATCTACTCTTGTAATTCTCTATGAGCAGAACTCCCCAATGTGAAATACAGCTCATTGCTATGAGACCACCTTTCTACGTGCCCTTCTCCATTTTGGAAGAAGATTGCTCATAGTCATTGACAGACATTTTAGCCTGCCTGTGAAATGACATCTTGTTATGTCATTTATGTTATAATTATGTTTATCTTGTATATCTCTTATATAGTGTAATTATACCTTAGTTCACATTCCATAAAAGGATGAAAATCAAACTGGGAAACACCTTTCTCTGAGATTATAACCAAAATGCCTCATACCGCAATATAGAGCATGGTTGAGTTAAAAAGTAGGGAAATGGAAGGAAGTAGAGAAAGTTTCTGGAATAGTGCAACTGGAGATGAAATACGACCTGCCTTAAAGCACAGGAGCAGGTCTGTGAAGACTCCTGATGCTTTTGCAGGAGTAACAAATTCCCTGTTGAGGGTCTAACCCTGATGTTGCTCTAGCTGTGCTCCAACACAGAAGATATTTTTCTTTTATGTGCATATTTGTAATGCACCAATCAATGATTAAATGTGCTGTTTACCCAAGGATCTCAACAGCTTCTGTCATGAGGAGAAAGTAAACTCTTAGATTTTCTTGTGGTAGGCTCTATACCAACTTTGCAAATAGGTAGCTATTCCAGCTGACAGTAGATATTTGGCAATTCTTACTCCTCCTGGAGCTGAAGCCAGGCTGAGCAGGTGTTTTACAGCTCTTTCCATCTGCAACTGAAAGAAAACCCCCAGTCCAGTCCAAAGGCAAGACAGTACTCTCTTCTGCTTAATAATTAATATGTCAGGGTGCCTCAGTATTTATAATAGAAATAATGCTCAAGTTGAAAACATCCACCAAATAGCAGAATTCACAATTTAATCTCACTGTTGGTATGAGATACTCTGTAATTATAGCAACACTAAGCTGTACTCAGTAAAACTCAAGAGTGCCTTTTGCTGACCAGTAAACAATTGATAACCTTGCTTGGAGAGCAAGTTAATTAGTAACACAAACAGAATGAAAAATCATAGTGTAAAATAGTATTTAAAATAGTTAGGAGTGATACTTTCTTTTCAAATGGAAGTAGTTTTAGAGTGCCCTAGTACTCTGCTAAAGTAGTCAAATTCTGGATGAAAGGGAGAGAGGAATTTATCACTCACTGGCAAGAAGTCATAAGAAAGCTGCATAATTAATGCTAGACATTTTAAAGCCATAATTTTCAATTTCTGTGTAATCTTTGGAAAACGAAATATGTACCTTGGCAATATTTCTGACAAGGTAGGGAGGGTAGGGAGACTTATGTATATTAGGTCAGAAATCAAGAGCCAGGGATCCTAAAGATCCCTGATATACCAAAAGGTTGTGGCTTGCCCTTCACTGGAAATTTTGTGAGCTTATTTGACAGGCAAATTCTACTAATGAATTGAAAGTTAACCCACAACCTACATGTAGCAGCTGCTGAAAACAAATTAAACAAATATAATTTTGCTTATTTTTAGTTTTAGAAACTATTTCTCAACCACATATTTTACACTTGAGTACAATTTTCATGCCAGTTCACCAAAGATGCATTAGCAGAAGAGGAGTTCCAGATGTGGCTGTTGCTCTAATCACAATTAACTAACAGCTTATAAAAGCCATCATCTTAAGGAAACATCTACATTTTACAAAGCTTGGGATCAAAAAGGAAGCCCCAGGGACCAGTTTAAGGCTTCTCACTCTACTAGACATAAAATCAGCAGAGGAAGTGAAAAAAAGATAATTAAAGAACTGAGTCATGAACCAGGCAAACCATTTTCTCCTGTATGCAAAATCTACCATGAAACAGCAAAATCTGTTTACACTAAAAATTCAGTATCGTGTAAGATTTAAATAAAAATAGTTCAGGTTTTCACAGCCACTTAGTGGATTTAGATCTTTTGGCCTTTACATTGCTACATAAAAAATGAGTAGTGACAACTCTTGTGCTTCAATTATTAGTCTCTTGCTATTTGAAGTCTCTTAGGAGCCAAGAAAACACGTGAGCAGAAACTTTAATCTAAACTTACATTTACATATGTAAGTACTTATATTTAAATATATGGCCCTCTTAGCTGTGAAGAAACCCTTGAAAAGGGAAATCTGTATCCATCATTTAGGCAGACTCAGAACACTTGGTGAGAGAGCTGTCAGTACTGAAGTATGTTTTGCATTGGAGGCTTTATGTGCTTTCCTTGCTCTATTAGTAAAGAAAGTTAATCTGTTCTAAGCTCTGTCCTGCCATATCTAGACCATCACTGGTAGCTACATTTCCACCTTGTAACAATACATTGAATGATTTTATCTTCTGGTGTATTTTTTCTTGAGATTTTAGTGTCAGCATCAGTTGTTCCAGTAAAATCAATGAGTGCTCAAGTACTTTGATGTACAGGAAGGAATTTGTTCTCTTTCTGACCTTTCTTTTCAAATAAAGAACTACTGTCTCTCTCTCGAACTGTTCTTTCATGATTCAGAATTTCTCCCTTTTTTTTCCTTTTTTTTTTTTTTTTTTTTAAACAAATAAAAACTTATAATTGACCCCCCTAAAACAAAACCCTACAAAAGTCTCCAAAACTTCTAATTATATGATCCAGGTCTCAGTTTTCAGTGAGCTTGATATGATAGTCCGAAGTATAGACAGTTTAGTTTCTTTTCAGTGAAGGGTCTTTTAATCTCTAAAAATACTCTACATTGTGTGACACCCATTGACTATAAACTCTATGAAGCTAAATGCATTGCTCTGATAAAACCAATCTGGCTCATTATCAAAAATACAGTTATAACCAACAGCTGACCTGACAGTCAAGATCAACACTAGTCTGACCAGGAAAGCCTCAGAATATCTATTTATTCACAGGGTTCAGTGCTGTCTAAATTCATGTGGTTATGTGACCTGATTCAGATGGTGTTAAAGCATCTTTAATTCAGATATCCTGGTAATTTGTCCCAGGAAGTGACTAAAAGGAAGAAGTCTAAATAGGCAGGCACAAGAGAATTCTTCTCTAGTTGTTTTCTTGTGGG